TTCGCCCGGTGCTGAAAGACGACAGCTTCCAGGCCCTGAAGGAGCCCTTCCCGACGAAGTGCTCTTCCTGGAGATCCGCAGCAGGCTGATGCCGGGAGTCCGGCGCCCCCTCTCCTTGCAGCCCTGTGTGCTCTGCCTGCTGTTCTGATCCCGCCTCGCAGAGCGCCGAGTGCCCCCTGCCGTCGGCCCCAGGTCTCTGAGAAAAGGGTCACTGAGCACGGAAGAAGCCCGCCAGGCCTGGGTCGGTGCCAGCAGACTGTCACCGCCTCTCGGCTCCTGAGTGGTGCCTCAGGCCTGGAGGTTTCTTGGCTGTCCCTTTCATATGGAAATGTAGATCCCTGAGTCACTGAGGACAATGCTCTTGGTGCAGGACAGTTGTTGAGTCTGATCCACGGATCTGGCTGGGTGAGGCAGTGGGGACCCTTGCGTGGACAGGGTCTGCTGCGGGCGGTGCTGCTGTCACAGAGGCTGTGGGAAGTGCTGTTTCCTGCAGGCCCACATCGGGATCCTGTCGCAGAGCTCAGGGAAGGGCTGCTAGGCTGGCAGGGCTGCTAAGAAGTCTGTGAGGAGGCTGCGGATTTAGCTCAGCGGCACAGTGCCTGCCTGGCAAGTGCAAGGTTGTGAGTTCGATCCCTGGTACCAGAAAAAAAGAAAAAAGAAGTCTGTGAGGACTTATTCTGCCCGGCTGGGGTTCTCTCACCCTCATCTGCTCAGGTCCAAGCCTGGATGGCGCTGCTGGTGCCCCCTCCCTGATTTCCCCACAAATCAGTCTATACCCAGCTCCTCTCTCCCGCTTTCCCTCCCTCCCTCCAGGTACTGGGGGTGGAACCCAGGGCTTGTGCATGCTAAGCACGAGCTCTGCCACAGTTACACCCGCTCCCCGACCTTCTCTAATCTCCCTGGATACACTTCCTGTGTGTGCAGTCCTGACTGTTGGTGCAATAGCTGTTCAACTCTTTTTTTTTTTTTTCCAGTACCGGGAATCGAACTCACGACCTCGCGCTTGCCAGGCAGGCGCTCTGCCGCTGAGCTAAATCCCCAGCCCAGCAGTTCAACTCTTGACCTGCAGTGAGAACCTCTCACAGTTTGCCCCCCAGGCTTTCTCAGTCTTTCCCTCTCCCTTTCCTCTTTCTTTTTTCTTCTTTTACTTATTCATCAAACATCTGCAAGGCCTCTTTCAAGGCAGGCATTGTGCAATGTGCCAGTTATATAAAGGGAGCTATTTAGGACAGTCACAAGGTTTTTTTTTTTTTTTGTCCCAGAAATTGAACTCAGGACTTTGTGCTTGCCAAGCAGGCACTGTGCCACTCAACTACATCCCCTACCCCAAGTTCTTCTTTGTATGTCTTTTTCAGACAGGCTTTCGCTATGCAGTTTAGGCTGATCCTGAACGCACAGTGATCCTCCTGCCTCGGCTTCTCGGCTAGGATAACAGGCATGCATCACCACACCTGGCTCAGTTTTTGTTTCCTTTTTTTGAGTCAGGGTATATATTCCAGTCTGGCCTCCAACTTGTAGTGATCCTCCTGCATCAGCCTCCCGAGTGCTAGGATTACAGGCATGTGCCTGGCTCAGATATTTATACAGAGCCTTAGGCCTGATCTTAAAGCTTGTGGAGGGGCCCACAGGGTGACAGCATTGATTTTTTTTTTTTGGTCTTTTTGGTACTGGGGAATTGAACTCACGACCTCAGGCTTGCCAGGCAAGCACCTATGCCGCTGAGCTATATCCCTAGCCCCCTTTTATTTTGGTCTTTTTGAGACAGGGTTTTGCTATGTAGTTCAAGCTGGTCTTGAGCTCACTTTGTAGCCCAGGTGGTCTCGAACTCGCAATGATCCTCCTGCCTCAGCCTCCCAAGTGCTGAGATTACAGGCGTGGGCCACCACGCCCGGCTAGCATTGTGATTTTGTGGGCTCAGAAACTTTATTGTTTGTATACCCACAAGTGGTAGGGTGCTACAGGACTGGTTAACATTGACCAAATTCCTAAGAACACTGTTTTCAAAGAAAGCTATCAGACCTGCCATTCATGCTTCCAATGAGGAGATTCCCTCCTCAAAACCCAATTATAGTCAGAGGTTGTTTGGTGAGCGCAAGCCCATAAGAGACCTGAGATTCCCAGGGAGTCAGTAATGCTGTTCCTAACCTTTAGGAAAATTTGATGAAAGCTCTCACCCTGGCAGGCTCCAATACATTGCCTGTTGAGACACTGTTTTCACATGTATCCATATACATGCAGAAAATGAAACCCAGGTGAATGTGGGAGGGGAACAGTGCAATGTCAAGGGGCTGATATTTTACACTTGCTTCTTTTTCTGAAGTTCTAATGGGGATACAATTGACTTTGCTACAGTTAGTCTGAGTTGAAGCCTTTAAGACCTCTCTAGGGAGCTGGGGATTTAGCTCAGGGGCACGGCGTCTGCCTGGCAAGTGCAAGGTTGTGAGTTCAATTCCCGGTACAGGAAAAAAAAAACCCCAAAAATAAAAAATGAAAGGACAGAGATATTTATTCATTAGAGCCGGGCGTGGTGGCACATGCCTGTAATCCCAGCACTCAGGAGGCTGAGGCTCGTTTCGAGTTCAAGGCCAGCCTTGGCTAAAAAGTGAGCTCAAGGTCAGCCTGAACTGCAGAGGGAGACCCTGTCTCAAAAAGACCTCTCTAGCACCATTTGCTCCATCTCCCTGTGTGGCTTCCTCTTTCTTTTCCTGAATGGAGACACACACACACACACACACACACACACACACATACACACACACATACGCACACACACTGGTGTCCTCAGGAAGTTTCTCCTGGAAGTAACTCATGAGAGTTCTACATCCTAGGCTACTTTGCATTCTCTGCTGTGCGTTCTACATTTGAGCTCACTGCTTGCAGACTTGGATTTCTATTGTTGTTGTTGTTTTTTATGTTTTTCTTCCGGTACCAGGAATCGAACTCACGACTTTGCACTTGCCAGGCAGGCGCTGTGCCGCTGAGCTAAATCCCCAGCCCCTAGACTTGGATTTCTACATGCAGGTCTGGAGTTTGTTTGCCCCAGTGCTGGGGTTGGAACCCAGGGCCTTGCATATGCTAGGCAAGCGCTCTGCCACTGAGCCTCAGCCTAGCTCTGTTGCTGAGTATTTTTTTGGCACCAGGAATCGAACTCAGGACCTCACACTTGCCAGGCCGGTGCTGAGCCGCTGGGCCACATCCCTGGCCCCTGTTGCTGAGTTCTTTGGTTTTTCTCCGGTACCGGGAACCGAACTCACGACCTTGCGCTTGCCAGGCAGGCGCTTTTGCCGCTGAGCTAAATCCCCAGCCCCCTGTTGCTGAGTTCTTAAAAACGAGAGGCAGCCTCGCCTTCACCCTCTGAGTAGAGCTTTCAGTGAGTTCCTCAGCACGGTAAATAAGACCCGGCACCAATTACCATTCTGAAAGAAAAGAGAGGGTCTGCTCCATCTTCCTCTGAGAAAAGGATTTGTGAGAGTTGCGCTGGCATCGGGCGTGGCTCAGGAAGATGCAACACACTGCACGTTGAAGAACCGATTCCCAGGCTTTAGAAACTGTCCTCTCACAGCGCCTGCCTGGCAAGCACGAGGTCGTGAGTTTGATTCCTGGTACCGGAAAAAAAAACAAAACAAAAAAAGAAACTGTCCTCTCTCTAGTTGGGTGTGGGGGTGCACACCCACAGTCCCGGCACGAGGGAGGCAAACTGCTGCGCGTTGGAGGCCAGCCTCGGCTACGTGGCAAGTTCAAGGTCAGCCAGAGCTGTACAGTGAGACCCAAAAAAGCTCTCCTCTCTCCTCTCTCCTAGCCTCCGCCCCATCCAGGCCCTTCCTTGGTGCTCTCTGCCTGCTTCCTCAGTGACTCAGCCAGCAGCACTTCACCCCTTCGGCTTCTCACTCCTTGGCCCCCTTTATTCGGTTTTGTATTTTGCAGTCTGAGGATTGAGCCCGGGGCTCACAAAGGCTGGGCCAGTGCTCTACCCCTGAGCTGCCTCCCAGCCTTCCTCTTCACTCTTTTTTTTTTTTTTTTTTTTTTGAGACAGGGTCTCACTCTGCAGTTCAGGCTGGGCTTGAGCTCACTTTGTAGCCCAGGCTGGCCTTGAACTCGCAAGGATCCTCCTGCCTCAGCCTCCCGAGTGCTGGGATGACAGGTGTGCGCCACCACGCCCGGCTTCACTCTATTTTGTGACAGGGTCTCCCGAAATGGCCTCTGGGGGCCTCAGAAGCACAACGCCTGCCAGGCAGCCCAGGCACTTTAGTTCCTTGTGACATTCCCACATGCTGTAGGCACAGACTTGTGTCATTTAGTCATTGAATATAAACCCCGATTTCCCACTAGATTGTGACGGATCCCACACTGGCACCCGTTGCCTGGCATCCCCAGCACACAGCCCAGGAATCACACATGCTGCGGGTCCTCAAACTTGTGCTACAGGGCCAGGGTGGAGCTCAGGGGTAGAGCACTTGCCTAGCATGTGCAAGGCCTTGGGTTCCCGCCCCAGTGCTACATAACAAAAACGTAAAACCTCCTTGGATACATACGAATAATTTAAAGTTGCTGGGTTTTTTTTGTTTGTTTGTTTTTTCCGGTACTGGGAATCAAACTCATGACGTTGGGCTTGCCAGGCAGGCGCTGTGCCTCTGAGCTAAATCCCCAGCCCCTAGAGTTACTGTTTAAAATCTGGTTTAAAGCCGGTGTGGTGGCGCATTCCTGTAATCCCAGCCCTGGGGAGGCTGAGGCAGGAGGATAATTGACAGTTCTAGACTAGCCTGGGCTACAAAGTGAGCTCAAAGCCAGCTTGAATGGCATAGCAAGACCCTGTCTCAAAAAAATTAAAAAAAGAAAATTTGTCTTAGACCCAAGCATGGGGTTCTAATTGTGTGCTGGTGGGTGGGGCCCAGGAGCTGTGAAGCTCATTGGCCCCTGCTGGCCATGTAAATGCAGATTGTCTGACTCACGCTGCACTTGGAGAAAGATCACCTTGACCTTTACAAAGCACTTTACCTCAATAAGCCTTACAGAAAATAGCAGCTCATTTAACAGATGTAGAAACTGAGGCCCCCAAAGGTCAGAGAGCTTGATCAAGGTCACTGGGTTGTCAGGGGTAACCGCAGAGAGGTCAGGGCTCCTCAATGGGATGCGTCTCCCGGGCCGGCTCTCAGAGTGCGGTGCTGCTACTCAGGAGGGCAAACGACAAGCCCAGGAGGAGCTGAGCAGGCCGCTTTCCTACACGGGAAAGGCCCCTGGCCAGGACCAGCTTCCCTGGGGCAGCTCTGCGGGGCGGGGAGCCAGGGGCGCCTGCAGCACCAGCAGGAGGCAGAGGGGGCCCGAGGGAAGGCGCAGGTCCGTGCGGCGGGAACGTGCGTGCGGGAGCCGCCGAGAACCGGACTGCAGCGGAGAGGGCAGGGCAGAACTCCGGTTTCCGCCCCGTCTTCCCTGGCGCTTCCGTCCTGCAGCCCGAGGTGGAGCGGCCCGGGGACGCACCCGCGAGCGGCGCCCCCGCCGCCCCGCACCCCCAGGTGGCGGCGGCCGGGATCTCAGCGTGAGCTCGAGGCCGAGGGGGATGGGAGGTGGCTGTTTATTCTGGCCGCCCCGGGAACAAAGCCCCTGGCCGCGGAGAGTCGAGGCCTTAATGCCCCCATCGGGCGGAGGAGGGGGGCCGGGGACACCTTAACAACTAAGAAAAGGTGCCCTGGAATTCTTTTGCTGAGCCGCGTCACCTCCCCCTCCGTGGTCGTGGGCTAATTCAGGGCCTGGGGACGGAGTTGATGGACTATCCTGGGCGCTCAACCTCCCATTGTGTTACTAATGCCCGCTGACAAAGGCCGTTCGCCGCTAGCAACCGTCGCTAGGCGGGTCTTATCTCCGGGGCTCCAGCCCCTGCCCCCACGGCCAGAATCCCAGGCCCAGACGGGGTCCCTGGGCAGCTCTCCCAGGCCCCCCGGGATTGCAGCAGGCGACTGCGATGCCGCCCCTTCCCGAGGGGAGGACTCGGGAGAGGCCGAGGCAGGCCGTGCCCTGAGATCCCAGGGCGCGCGTTCCTAGGCATTTTCTAGAGCAACATCACGTGTATCACAAGTCACATTGGTGGCCCCGTGCTCAGGCTGTCCCTGGAGTCTTAAAAATCCCACATGAGCCCGCCGTGGTGGCACACGTCTGGAATCCCAGCCCTCTGGGAGACCGAGGGGGAAGTTCAAGCTCAACCCGGGCAATTTAGCAACTTAGCAAGACCCTACTCTAAAGAAAAAAAGGTGCTGTGATGTAGCACAGAGGGAAAAAAGGAAAAGGAAAGAAATCTCACCTGGCTCCTTGCCCAGGTGACAAGAATTGATTTCTTTCTTTTTCTTTTTCTTTTTTTTCTTTTTCTTTTTCTTTTTTTTTTGAGACAGGGTCTCACTATGCAGTTCAGGCTGACCTTGAGCTCACTTTGTAGCCCAGGCTGGTCTTGAACCCGCAAGGATCCTCCTGCCTCAGCCTCCGGAGTGCTGGGATTACAGGTGTGCGCCACCATGCCCAGCAAGGATTGATTTCATGTGTGATATTGGTGTTACTGTATGAGAAAATTCCCTTTTCTCTGCTCCCTGTATGATGGCACTTTTGCAAGAATTTCTGCTGCTTACTTGTCTGAGATGTACAAAACATCATAGGTCTTTTTTTTGATTAATTAAGTTTATTGGTACATTTTAGGTATACATAATGATCACATTCATTACAGGGAATTTGTACCTGTACATGATATAACTTGATTTTTATTTTTTGAGACAAGGTCTCATTATGTAGTGCAGGCAGGCTGGCCTTGAACTATGTAGCCCGGGCTGGCCTCCAACTCATGGTGATCCTCCTGCCTCAGCCTCCCAAGTGCTGGGATTACAGGCGTGCATCACCGTGGCGGGTTTTTAAGAAAACCCTCATAGATCTTCACTGAACTGCACATTATATATTAGAATCACCCCAAAAGATTACAAAAGAAAAAGAACTGGTTTTGACTCAGGCATGTTCTCCTTGGATGATACCAGGTGAGCCAAGGATGAGATGCTGAGATGCCCTGCCTCACTCAACAGTGCCCTGTGCTTATTTTGGTGTTGGGCGTGGCACCCAGGCCTGCAGCATGTTAAGCACCTGCTATCCCTCTGAGCCACATTCCTGGCCCCAAGGTCCTGAAGCCTGACCGACCTCTGTCCTCATTAGCTGCAGTAGGGCTGAGTTTCTTAAATTTTTAAAAAATTACAGCTGGGTGTGGTGGTGCACGCCTATAATCCCTGCACTTGGGAGGCTGAGGCAGGAGGATCCTTGCAAGTTCGAGACCAGCCTGGGCTACATAATGAGTTTAGGGTCATCACACAGTGTTAATTCAAAGCATGTTACAGAGACAGACAGGGTTTTGTATCAACCACTCATAGGTGAAGAAATGGCACCACCTAGTTGTATTTAAAACCTATTAAATTTCACCTGTTTGTGAGCCGGGTGTGGTAGTGCATGCCTGTAATCCCAGTACTGGGGAGGCTGAGGCAGGAGACTTGCTGTGAGTTCAAGTCAGCCTGGGCTACATAGAGACCCCGTCTCAAAAACACACAAAAATAGAAAACAAAACAAAAAATACAAAACAAAAAGTTTTGGCAGCTGGGCCTGGTGGCACACACCTGTAATCCCAGCACTCAGGAGGCTGAGGCAGGAGGATCGTTGCAAGTATGAGATCAGCCTGGGCTACAAAGTGAGCTCAAGGTCATCCTGAACTGCATAGTGAGACCCTGTCGCCAAAAAAAAAAAAAAAAAAAAAGCAGTGGGAACTGGAAGAGGGGACCTGTTGGGTGGTTTAGGTGAGTGGGGACAGGCTCTCAAAGTGGCTGTGGGGCGCCAGCCCCTTTCTCTTCTTGCTTTGTTTGCTGGCCGCCATGTTGTGAGCAGCTCCCTCTGCCGTACGTCCCACTAGGACGTGATGCCTCGCTTTACGCCCACAGCTGCGGAAAGGAGACCATGGAGTGAAAACTCCAAACCGGGAGCAAAATAAGTCCGCCTGCCTTTGAAGTTCATGGTCTCGGGTATTTGTCACAGGAACAGGAAGCTGGCTGGCACTAGGCTAAGTGCTTCTGGAATTCCTTGTGGTAGCCCTGCTCTTACATTAATGCTCATTTGTGGAGCTCCTACCCTGGTGCTGTAGGAGACACGGGTGAGGAGATAAACTGCAGGGGTCTCCTCTCCGTCTCCAGTCCCGCTGAGGTCGTGGGCAGGGACTCCATAATGACAGCAGGTGGCGTAGGACGAGATTCTGTTCTTCCCTACCGCACACCAGGGAGGCAACACCAGACAATTTTAAGGAAGAATCTCTTCTTTTCTTTTCTTTCTTTTTCTTTTCCTTTTCCTCTCTTCCCCTCCCCTCCTCTCCTCTCCTCTCCTCTCCTCTCCTCTCCTCTCTTTTCTTTTTTTTTGTCTTTTTGAGACAGGGTCTCACTACGCAGTTCAGGCTGGCCTTGAGCCCACTTTGTAGCCCTCAGCTGGTCTCGAACTTGCAACAATCCTCCTGCCTCAGCCTCCTGAGTGCTGGGATTATAGGTGTGCGCCACCATGCCCGGCCATACTACTTTTAATTTTTTTTGCAGTGCTGGAAATTGAACCCAGGGCCTTGTACATGCGAGGCAGGTGCTCTCCCACTGAGCTACCTCCCCATCCCACGCTATTTTATTTTATTTTATTTATTTTTATTTTTATTTTATTTTTGTCTTTTTGAGACAGGGTCTCACTATGCAGTTCAGGCTGGCCTTGAGCTCATTTTGTAGCCCAGGCTGGTCTGGAACTCGCAACAGTCCTCATGCCTCAGCCTTCCAAGTGCTGGGACTACAGGCCTGCACCACCACGCCCGGCTTACCCCGTGCTCTTTTAATTTCTGTGTGCACAGATCAAAGCTTCCCTGGAAAGTCAGCAAAGATGCAGATTCTCTATGATGAGTGTTAGCACTGTGTGTATCTAAAATCACCAGTAAAATGAATGGGAAGGAAAAACTGAAGACTCACACAGGACTGGGGAAGACTGCCCAGGAGCCGTGGGAGGCCGGGTTCACCACTGTTCCCCAGCTGGGGCCTCCCCACCCCCATCCAGCCTGGTGTCCTGTCCCACACGCCAGCCGCACCCTCTGGGGCTGCCCTTTATCACTGGTCAGCCCCTGTGCCCCCAATTCCCCTAGGCCTGCGGGACAGCTCTCTGCCCTTTGGTCTCTGGGGTCCAGCTCTGGGAGGTGAACAGCAGGCCCCAGAGGAGGGGCCGCGTGGGTCGCTGCTCCTGTGGCGAGCACCACATCCCCCTTCCCACACCCTGGCTCAGGCCCCTGACCCGGCAGAGGCGGCGCAGACCTCCCTGGGGGACGCAGGGGTGGCGGGCTAGGGAAGGCAGGAGGAGAACAGAAGAGCCAGATGCCTAAAGGTGAGATTCGGAATGGGAGGGACTCAGGGAGTGTGGGAGCAAGGACCGGCTGGCTGTCCGTCCCTCGTTTTCTGCCCACATTGCCTTTAAAGTTGTCACCTGCCTGCAGCACACAGAAGAAGACTTGAGTCTGAGATGGGGTCGTCCTGGGCAGAGTCCTCAGGGTGTGACTCCGTCTCCTCTCCGCAACCCATTTCCCTGTCTGTCTGCCTGTCTGCTATACTATCTATCCAGGTATCCATCCATCTATCTTCTATCTACCTACCATCTTTCATCTATCTATCTGTCTGTCTCTCTATCTACCTAGATAAATCTATCTATCTCCTTTCTCTTTTTTTTTTGGAGACAGAGTCTCACTATGCAGTTCAGGCTGGCCTTGAGCTCACTTTGTAGCCCAGGCTGGCCTCGAACTCACAATGATCCTCCTCCTGCCTCAGCCTCCCAAGTGCTGAGATTACAGGTGTGCACCAACACGCCCGGCTGTTTTGTTTTGTTTGGAGATAGGGTTTCTTGGTGTAATTCGGGCTGGCCTTGAACTCACTATGTAGCCCAGCCTGGCCTTGAACTCAAGGAGCCTCTTACCTCAGCCTCCTGAGTGCTGGGATTACAGGCGTGCGCCACCACATCCGGCACGAACCAGTTCCTTGGCATCTCGTGTTGGCATTCCTGCTATAGTGCCTGTAACCTATGGGCATCCCACCCCCACACCCCTCTAAGCTTGCTCTTTCTGCAAACGACTGCTCCCATCTCTGAGCCCCTCTGACTCCCCAGGGGATGCAGTGATGCTCACAGGTGGGGCTCCCCCTCCAGTAGGGCGACCTCCCATTCCCTTCCTGGCCCTGGCAGCTGGTCACTCTGGTCAGTGTGCTGCCTGTCCAGGATCTGGGCCCAGGAATAAGCAGTCCTCCCTGAAAAAGAGGCAGGGCTTCCTAGCTTTGCAAGGGTGTGACCCATAGGAGAGAGGGGTGGCTATGGGCTGAGGTAGTCAGGAGAGGATTCCGGGAGGAAGCAGAGTTTAGAGTTGGAGAATTTTAGATCCAAAGAGAGCATGGAGTCCTCTTTTATAGAGGATACGTCTAAGGCCCAGAGAAAAGCTATGGACCCAAGAGCACACAAGCAAGCTAGAGACAGGATGGATAGCGAACTCTTTTTTTTTTTTTTTTTTAATACCAAAAGTTCATTTCTGGTGCTGAGTATTCCCTCCCTGTTTTATTTGTACGTATTTGTGATACATAATAAACACACTCGCCAGGGGGGAACTGGTGTATATAGCTTTTTTTTTTGTACTGGGAATCAAACTTATGACCTTGTGCTTGCCAGGCAGGCACTGTGCCACTGAGCTATATCCCTGGCCCAGAGCCAACTCTTTGATTCATTGACAGGGTCTCACTATGCAGTTCAGGCTGGACTTGAGCTCATTTTGTCACTTTGTAACCCAGGCTGGTCTTGAACTCTCAACGATCCTCCTGCCTCAGCCTCCTGAGTGCTGGGATTACAGGCGTGCGCCACCACGCCAGGCTCATTGAACTTTTTATTATTGTCATCATTATTATTGTGCTGCTGCTGATTTCTAGCTTCACTGTGCTATGATTCAGTAGTTTGCAAGGGATTATTTCAGTTCTTTTGTATTTACTTAAGCTTTTTTTTTTTTTTTTTTTTTTGGTACCAGTAATTGAACTCACGACTTTGTGCTTGCCAGGCAAGTGCTTATGCTGCTGAGCTATATCTCTGGCCCTATTTAAGCGTGTTTGAAGCCCTAAGATATGGTCTATTTCAGAAAAAGTTCCATGTGCTTCTTCTATAAGAAAGGTGTATTCTGCTGTTGGTAGGTGAAACTCCGTGGAGACATCTCTTAAGTCCATTCGTTCGATAGTGTGGTTTAACTCTGTTTTTTTTTGGTCTGGTTGACCTGTCTGACTGGGAGAAGGAGGTATCAAAGTCCCCCAGTGTGACCTTGTTGGTGCCTGGCCTTTTAAGTCCAGTAGTTTTTGTTTTCTGAAGCTGGGTGCACCAACATTTGATGCGTAAATATTTGCTTTTTTTTTTTTTTTTTT